GCCGGCGGCGCACGGGTACGGCCGCTCGCCCGTGTGCGAGCGCTGGTGCTTGTTGAGGTCCGAGGGGTTGGTGAAGGTCTTGGCGCAGGCGCCGCACGAGTAGGGCCGCTCGCCCGTGTGCAGGCGCTGGTGGGTGGTGAGCGTCGAGAGGTGGCCGAAGCTCTTGCCGCACTCGCCGCACGCGTAGGGCTTCACCCCCGTGTGCGTCCGCTGGTGGGTCTTGAGGTGCGTGAGGCGGTTGAAGCTCTTGCCGCACTCGGCGCAAGGGTAGGGACGCTCCTTCTCGTGCACCTTGGCATGGAATCAAAGAACCGGGGAGTCATTATGGGTGGAAAAGACCTCGGAGGTGGTTGAATTAACCAAAGAACCATAGAGTCATTATGGGTGGAAAGACCTTGGAGATGGTTGAATGAATCAAAAAACCACAGAGTCATTATGGGAGGAAAGACCTTGGAGATGGTGGAATTAACCAAAGAACCATAGAGTCATCAATTCAATCATCTCCAAGGTCTTTCCAATCATAATGACTCTATAATTCCTTGATTCACTCGATCGTCTCCAAGGTCTTTTCCACCCATAATGACTCTACGATTCTTTGATTATGGGTGGAAAAGACCTTGGAGATGATGGAATGAATCGAAGAACCATAGAGTCATTGTTGGTGGGAAGACCTTGGAGACAATCGAGTGAATCAAAGAATCATAGAGTCATTGATTCAATCATCTCCAAGGTCTTTCCACCCATAATGACTCCATGATTCTTCGATTCACTCGATCGTCTCCAAGATCTTTTCCACCTATAATCAAAGAATCGTAGAGTCATTATGGGTGGAAAGACCTTGGAGACGATCGAGTGAATCAAGGAATCATAGAGTCATTATGGGTGGAAAGACCTTGGAGACGAGTGAATCAAAGAATCACAGAGGAGTCATTGATTCCATCATCTCCAAGATCTTTTCCACCCATAATCAAAGAATTATAGAGTCATTATGGGTGGAAAGACCTTGGAGATGACGGAATGAATCAAAGGATCATAGAATCATTGATTCAATCGTCTCCAAGGTCTTTCCACCCATAATGACTCTATGATTCCTTGATTCACTCGATCGTCTCCAAGATCTTTTCCTCCCATAATGACTCTATGATTCTTTGATTCATTCCGTCATCTCCCAGGTCTTTTCCACCCGTAATCGAAGAATCGCAGAGTCATTATGAGTGGAAAAGACCTTGGAGACGGTCAAATGAATCAAAGAATCATAGAGTCATTCATTCAGTCATCTCCAAGGTCTTTTCCACCCATAATGACTCTGCGATTCTTCGATTATGGGTGGAAAAAACCTTGGAGATGACGGAATGAATCGAAGAATCGCAGAGTCATTATGGGTGGAAAGACCTTGGAGATGACTGAAGTAATCAAAGAATCATAGAATCAAATGATCCCAGTCAAGATGGTGTTGGCCTTGTTGGCCATGCGGGCACGTTCATGTTCAACCGCTTGCCAACCAACACCCCAAGGTCCTCTCCAGCCCCTCTCCCCCAAGCCTGTAGCGCCGCATGGGGCAGTTGTGCCCCAAGTGCGGGACTTGGCCTTCAACGTGGCCTCCTTGGCCCCCATGGGGTTGGTCAACGCGGCCTCATTGGCCCCCATGGGGTTGGTCAACGTGGCCTCCTTGGCCTCCATGGGGTTGGTCAACGTGGCCTCCTTGGCCCCCATGGGGTTGGTCAACGCGGCCTCATTGGCCCCCATGGGGTTGGTCAACGTGGCCTCCTTGGCCTCCATGGGGTTGGTCAACGTGGCCTCCTTGGCCTCCATGGGGTTGGTCAACGTGGCCTCCTTGGCCCCCATGGGGTTGGTCAACGCGGCCTCATTGGCCCCCATGGGGTTGGTCAACGTGGCCTCCTTGGCCTCCATGGGGTTGGTCAACGTGGCCTCCTTGGCCTCCATGGGGTTGGTCAACGTGGCCTCCTTGGCCCCCATGGGGTTGGTCAACGCGGCCTCATTGGCCCCCATGGGGTTGGTCAACGTGGCCTCCTTGGCCTCCATGGGGTTGGTCAACGTGGCCTCCTTGGCCTCCATGGGGTTGGTCAACGTGGCCTCCTTGGCCCCCATGGGGTTGGTCAACGCGGCCTCATTGGCCCCCATGGGGTTGGTCAACGTGGCCTCCTTGGCCTCCATGGGGTTGGTCAACGTGGCCTCCTTGGCCTCCATGGGGTTGGTCAACGTGGCCTCCTTGGCCCCCATGGGGTTGGTCAACGCGGCCTCATTGGCCCCCATGGGGTTGGTCAACGTGGCCTCCTTGGCCTCCATGGGGTTGGTCAACGTGGCCTCCTTGGCCCCCATGGGGTTGTCCTCACCTTGGCGTGCGCCGCCAGCTCGCGCTTCACCCAGAAGCGCTCCCCGCACTCGCGGCACCGGTGCGGCTTCTCCGGCCGTTGGCCAACACTCTCCTGGCTCTTGACGTCCCCCGTTGTCCCCAACAGCCCGTGGCCGGCGGGTGACGGGACGGCCGGATCCCGGGGGATCCCTTTCTGCCTCCTGTAGATCTCCTTCCGCACGGGGCTCCGGATTGCAGCGCCGTCGGAGACGCCCTGGAGGGCCCTGGCTCCATGGGGCCTCTCTTGCCTTTGCCAAAGGAATTGGGTGTCCCCTCTGCTCCCCATGCCGGGACCTGTGGGGTGGAAAAGTTGCCTTCTGCTGGGGAAGCCAGTCATGGACTTGACCGAACGCCCTTTTGCCCCCCATTCCCACCCCAAATGAACCTCCCTTAGATACAACATGACCTTGAAAGCACCATTTGAAGGCCCCATTTCAACCCTGCAGCATTGCTGTCTTCTCTACCCTGCAAGGCAGGAAGAAGCAACATCCTGACGCCAGAGATGGTCCCTTTCCCACCCATCCTTAAACCCGGTGTTATGGGAGGTGGCCAAACCACATGGAATGATGGAGATGGGACAACCTGGAGCGAGAAGCTTGGGATGACCAAGCTTCATGACCATGGATGGTCCTTAACCCTGGTCTTATGGGAGGTGGCCAAATCACACCACAGAATGATGAAGATGGGACAACCTGGAGCGAGAAGCTTGGGATGACCAAGCTTCATGACCATGGATGGTCCTTAACTCTGGTCCTATGGGAGGTGGCCAAACCACATGGAATGATGGAGATGGGACAACCTGGAGCTAGAAGCTTGGGAAGGCCAAGCTTCATGACCATGGATGGTCCTTAAGCCCAGTCTTATGGGAGGTGGCCAAATCACACCACAGAATGATGAAGATGGGACAACCTGGAGCGAGAAGCTTCATGACCATGGATGGTCCTTAAGCCTGGTCTTATGGGAGGTGGCCAAACCACACGGAATGATGGAGATGGGACAACCTGGAGCGAGAAGCTTCATGACCATGGATGGTCCTTAAGCCTGGTCTTATGGGAGGTGGCCAAACCACACGGAATGATGGAGATGGGACAACCTGGAGCGAGAAGCTTCATGATCATGGATGGTCCTTAAGCCTGGTCTTATGGGAGGTGGCCAAACCACACGGAATGATGAAGATGGGACAACCTGGAGGAGCTCTGAGTTCCAGGGAATTTCCATTAGCTCCTCTTGGGATTTTTCTCCCAATTTTCTCATTTTCCCAACACCCCATGAGTTGTCACGGTGCTGGGACCTCCTTTTTGGCCCTTTTCTGGGACATTTATCTCCCCAACAAGCTTTATGCTGAGGGACTCACCTTCCAGGCGCTCCCCAACCATTTTTCCCCAAAAAAGCACCTTTTCCTCGTGCTTTTTACCTGTTTCTTGAGGATCCTCATCCTCGGGAGCACGGGGGAGCTTGAACTTGCTCCGGGCCGATTCCTCTTGGGAATCGTCATCCGAGATGAGCTGAGGAGGCTCCAACGGGGGGCTCGGGGACCCCCATTGGTTTGGGGGGCTCTCCGTGTCCTCTGGGGCCACCTCCTCCAGCTTCACGCGCACGGTGACCTGCGGGACAAGGGACAAGGGGGACCTAAGAGCAGTGGGGGGGACAGGGGACATCGGAAAAGGGCCCTGAGCGCCCCATGGGGGGACCCTCCTGCACCCCGTGCCCGGCTCCCCGGTGCAGGATCCAGTCGGGAACAACCGTCCCTTGAAGCTCCCGGGGGAATTTGCGGGATTGCTGCAAACTGCGGGATTGCTGGAAAATGCGGGATTGCTGAAAATTGCGGGATTGCTGGAAATTGCAGGATTGCTGCAAATTGCAGCATTGCTGCAAACTGTGGGATTGCTGGAAAATGCGGGATTGCTGCAAATTGCGGGATTGCTGAAAATTGCAGGATTGCTGCAAACTGCAGGATTGCTGAAAATGGCAGGATTGCTACAAATTGCAGGATTGCTGAAAATTGCAGCATTGCTGCAATTGCACCATTGCTGAAAATTGCAAGTTTGCTGCAAACTGCAGGATTGCTGGAAATTGCGGGATTGCTGGAAATTGCGGGATTGCTGGAAATTGCAGGTTTGCTGCAAACTGCAGGATTGCCAGAAAATGCAGGATTGCTGAAAATTGCAGGATTGCTGCAAACTGCGGGATTGCTGGAAATTGCGGGATTGCCGCAAATTGCGGGATTGCTGAAAATTGCAGGATTGCTGAAAATTGCAGGATTGCTGAAAATTGTGGGATTGCTGAAAATTGTGGGATTGCTGCAAACTGCAGGATTGCTGAAAATTGCAGCATTGCTGCAATTGCACCATTGCTGAAAATTGCAGGTTTGCTGCAAACTGCAGGATGGCTGGAAATTGCAGGATTGCTGGAAATTGCGGGATTGCTGAAAATTGCGGGATTGCTGCAAATTGCAGGTTTGCTGCAAATTGCAGGATTGCTGCAAACTGCAGGATTGCCGAAAATTGCAGGTTTGAAGCAAATTGCAGGATTGCTGCAAACTGTGGGATTGCTGGAAATTGCGGGATTGCCGCAAATTG